AGTGGTTTTTGTACCAGAATTTGATCAACGGCTTGGCTGCCTGAGAACTTTTGATTGCTTGGTTTTCAGCGCAAGGGTGAAGAATTAAGTGATCTATTGGCCAAGAAGAAAAGTCAAATATTAAATATGATGGAGAGGACATCGGAAGTAAGACGAATGAAGGAAGATCTGCTGCAAAGTTGTTCAACTGTAAGATGACTATTAGATAGTTTCATTTTTCATTTTTATTATGAACAATCTCTGCTTTTTGTAGATGGATTAACTTTATTGGATTATCAAATATTATAAGAACTTGAGGTTATCTATTGCACATTTCCTGGATTTCATTGTTGTAGGTCTCTTCAATTTTCTGTACTCTTGATTCTAGATTTCTTTCTCCATGTAATACCTTTTTATAAACTTTCTTCTCTCTCAATTTTATGTTGATTGAAACTCGTTTTCTAGTCAGTTCTCTTTTTTGTTTTCATATGTATATTTTTATCTTATTTGATTTCTTCTACTCTCAGCATTGCCTTATAACTCAGCTACAGTTTTGCAATGGTGTTACATTTGAGATTAAGATCTATATGTTTGGATTTTGGTTTTAGGCTGTCAAGGAGAGGCTTGAGCTAGAAAGGGAACAAGACCGCATGGCTCGGCAAATTCAACAGATGAATGAAGATGTCAAATCACGTGAGCAACAGATTCATGATTTGCAAGAGCAGTTTGCCAAAACTACACAAGTAATTTAATATACTTAGCTTTTTTTCACCTCAGTTTTTGTATGGCTACACATAGTTATGATTGTTGCTTCACCTTTTTTTTTTTTTGTTATGGTCACTCTTTTTACTTATGACCGATGCTTCACCCAAACTTTTTATGACATCAGATTTAGTCATGCATGAGAGAAAAATATTTATTAGCATATAATTTGATTTTACTTTAAGCTACTATAGCCATTTTCCATTACTGTCTGATTGCATATAGGCTGAAGAAACTGCAATGGAGGAAAAGCTCAGGGAACTCCAAGTTGAGGTAGCTGAAGCTAATGCTAGTATTCAGAGGTAATAGATTATATTCCTTTTTTTATTTTTTATTTTTTGGCCACATTTGTACTGTATGCTTTTGGTTGCTGGGAATCAACACTTGTTTGATCTAAATGAAATGCTTATATCCAGAGGGAAGGAGGAAGAAGATGGAATAGCACAGAAGATAGCTATGGTAGAAAATGAAATATCAAAAATAACAAAACAGGTGTGAAATAATTTTGTACATTTGCTTCCTGCTGATTCCTTGTCAGTGTTATCAAATGGTGGCCATGGCGGTATGGCGTGGCAGATTTTTTACAATCCGCCATGCAAAATTTGTGAGTGATGGCGGTCATGGCGGCGCCATAGACCGCCACGGCGGCCGCAATGGCGGAATTTTGGCAAAACGCCATGTACCGCCATCTGCCACTAATAACACTGTTCCTTGTACACCTGCACCATAATGGAACAAGGAATTGGCTGCACATTTTTTACTTTGAAATAAATTGAGATATTACAAGCGTCGAGTTCCTTTTTTATTTAACGAGTATATGCTTTTGGGATCCTCATTTATGAATAGTTCTCGTGCTGGTTAATGTCAATTTCAGATAGAAGATATTGAAAGAAACCATCGTGATATTTCATCTCGTATCCATGAGCTCCAAATGAACCAAAAAAATAAGGTATGTAGAGTCTTATCATATGTCTATTTGTATAAGTTGCTTTCTCTTTTTTTAAGACTCTTCATCCTTGTTGTCACCTTCCGTTATTGTTGAACCTTATGCACCTTCTGTATCATTCATTTCAGTTTTTGACAAATGTTTGCTTTCTGAAGGTTACTGCTTTTGGCGGAGGTCGAGTCATCAGTCTTTTGCAGGCCATTGAGCGGCACCAACATAAATTTAGCAGCCCACCTATTGGTCCCATAGGTGCTCATGTGGTAAAACAGTGACGGTGATGGATAATTCACCCTCTCTGAGTGCACCCTGTTAATATAATCATTTTTTTGCCGGTTTATATTGGATTATCATCTTTTGGTTCCATAACTTAATGCATTGTTTGTGTACTTGTAAATGGTGGGTTTCCTAGTGTTCTTTTCAATTTTTTTGTAGTATTCCATAAAATATGCATTTTAAGAATGTAAAGCTATATTATTATTACTATTTATTATTATTATTTATTGTTATTATTTCTATTATTTTACTACTATTATTATTTTTTTAATGATGTGAAAAACCAACAATACAAACCTTAAGTGGAAGGTAAAGTTTGGAAAGCTGTTGCAACCTATAAGCATTTCAGTTAAATTGTTTATTGCAGAAATTGGAACATGGAGACATGTGGTCTGTAGCTATTGAATCTGCAGTTGGCAGGGTACTTAATGCTTTTATTGTCACTGATCACCAAGATTCCCGTACTCTAAGAGCATGTGCGAAGGAAGCAAACTATCACTACTTACAGATTATCATTTATGACTTTTCCCGACCAAGGTAACAGCCTCAACTCATGTATGTGAAGTGTAATCAGTTTTCAGTTCCCAATTATGTTTGTCTGAATAAACATTTTCTAATGGATCACTTGTTGTCTTTTGTTAGAATTGACATTCCGAGGCACATGCTTCCTCATACTAATCATCCCACTGCATTCTCCGTTATGTGTTCTGACAATCCTACGGTGCTGAATGTTTTGGTTGATGTGGTAGACTTCAAATTTTCTTATGAACTCTTGTTTTTACTTCTGTTTTTATTATCTTTGGTTTTGAATTTTATATTATAACTGCCCGTAGAAGTCAAGTCCGTTTCTTGTCTAAGCTAGTCTTTTATTTCATTTTTCCCCCTCTTCCCCCACATATGTACTACACGTATATACTGTTCTACCTTGCATCTTTTAGAAATTAGAAAATTTCCACAGTTTGAGATATGGCTTCTGCTGTTAAGTACCGTTAAAAAATGCAGTTGGCTTGATCATTCAAATTCAAGAAACAATTTTCATTTAAATTTACACTAACATCTTTGTCAATTTTATATTTTTTTTCTTATGTCTTCTGTATGATGTTGTCAACACTGTTTTGGTATTCTGCAATTTTGGCAGGTTGGTGCTGAGAGACAAGTGCTTGTCAAAGATTACGATGCTGGCAAAAAGGTTGCCTTTGAGCAGAGGGTAGCAAACCTGAAGGAGGTCTTCACGTCTGATGGGTACAAGATGTAAGATAGGAACTGTGTTAATACCATGAACTATGTCCAGATTACTCTTTTTGTCATTTTATTAACCATGTTATGTGTTTTCCTTTTTTTATCGGCATATCTCTTTCTTTCCGAAGCTGTAATACAAATCACTTTCGTAGATCATATGCCACAAACACTATATATCTAATAGAAAACTATGGGCTGTGGAGGGCCCACCTTCCTCGGAAATCCCGTTGAACATTGTATGTCAGTTTTTTGTGCGATTTTTATTTCCAATTCCTAAAAGATGTATTGGATATTTTGTTAGCTTAAAAGCTGCATCATTTTCAGGTAGTACAGATCAGAGCTTGCGAGTTTCACGTTAAATATGTATGCTTGTCAGTTGAACGTTATAAGTTTGTTCTCCCATGATGTTTATTTGAAATTTCTTGAAGATGTATTGGATAGTTTGTTAGCTTAAGTGCAGCATCGTTTTCTGGTAGTACAGATCAGAGCTTGCAAGTTTCATGTTAAATATGTATTCTAGTCATTTTAATTTGCTCAAATGAGGTTGTTAATACCTTCAAGACAATGATCAAGTGGAGTTCTTTGCAGGTTTTCCCGCAACTCATCCGAAACTATTCTTCCCCCCCACAAAAGCTCGCATTCTCGTCGTCTTTGTGGTTCGTTTGACCATGAGATTAAGTATCTGGAAAAAGATGCATTGGAAGCAAAAGAGAATGCTCAAAGAGGCCGAGGCGTGAAACGGACTAAGGAAGAAGATTTGAGAAATCTTCAGGACATGTTACACGGTGTAAAGGTATCCCTAGCAATATATACTTGGATGTTGAAATACTTTTGTACCATTCCATGATATAAGGGCTTCTGCATTTAAACCATTCTGGCTGCAAAAGGAATGTGATTATCATGGATAGCTGATAGCATCGGTAAATTGAGCAGATGTTACCAAACTTTTCTGCAGTAATTCAATATCACGATACAACTTTCTAGCTCAGAAAGGATCTTCTGGTATATTGATCCCAGAAGACTACTTTATCATGAGTAATGTTCCTAGAAATTTACTTTTCACACATATCCCCTCGTTTTTCTCCACTTTAAAAAATTTGTCTTCTCTGATGCAATGCGTATAAATACGTGGTATTTGCATTTCATTCAACTGTTTTGTTGCAATAGATTTTCGGACAGAACTTATCCATCAATAAGTGTGGGTATTCAACTGCTTTTTTATTGAATGTTTCCCTGCTTAACTTGTATTTGCTCCTGGCGTTAAATATGTTTGAGTTGTGCAATGAATTGTATTTAATATTTGCTGCATAATGGGCAATGCCAGACACTACTATTGTATTGTATAGAAATGCTGCTTGTGAATCCTGATCTTTTATCTGCTGTAATATTTTCCAGAGAAGGCGCATGAATATGGAGCGGGTCATTAGGCCGAAGATATTTGAGCTGGAAGATGTGAAAAAATTCCTCTCTTTGGAATCTAATGCTGGGCATGCATCTACAGTGGATGAACTTCATCAAGAGATATCTGTCTGTTTCTGGAAACTTCTTCTCCAAATTTTTGTAATTCTTTCTCGAGTAGTTCTTTTTAGGATTTAGCTGGAGTCCTAGTCTTTATCGGAAGATCCTAAAATTTGTTGTTTTCCTTTTTCGGCTTGGAAATTACGTGCAGAAACTGCATCAAGAAATAGAAGGAAAGGAAACTTTGTTGGAAAAGCTTCAGAATAGAGTGAATGAAGCAGGAACAAAAGTTGACAATCTCAAAGCGTCATTTGATAATCTATGCGGTATGCTACTTGTGTCCATCATTATGCCTGGATCCATATTTATTCTGCACGCCTCAATCTCTATGGTTTATTTGTAGATTCAGCGAAATCAGAAATTGATGCATTAACAGAAGCAGAGCGTGAACTGATGATGATAGAGAAAGATCTACATGTAGAAGAACAGGTCCTTTTCTTTTACCCTCCTGTTTGCTTTCTTACGGTGTCCCTTCTGTTTGAAGTATATTGAATTATTTCTCCCACATTTCTTAATCAGGCGAAGAAAAATTGTGAGGACCATATGAATACTAAGTTACTTTCTCTGCTAAAACAATTGGAGGATGAATTTCAGAAGCTTGAGGATGAGTGTAAGGTGAATTTCAACTCTATATCACAAGTTAAATTTTAGCTGTTTGCATTAAATTGTGCGTCTGATTAAAGCCCTTGGTTTGATGAGTGCAGCTTATTTAACAATTTCATTTATACTTAATATGCTTCATTCTTCTCTTTCTTCATTCTCAAGCGACATCTGCTTTTTAATACTTTATGGTGGGTTTAGGAGGGCCGTCTGAAAGCATCAGCTATATGTCCTGAGAGTGAGATTGAGGCTTTAGGAGGCTGTGAAGGAAGCAGTATTAAGGAACTTGAAGCTCAATTTAAAATATTGACTCAAAGACAGCAGCGTGAGAGCCGAAGGTAAAATCCGGTTTGCTCTATATTTTTTACCATTTTTATCCTCTTCCTTCTATATGTTAGGACTTTCTATTGCAGATTTTCAGAATCTATCAATGATCTCCGAATGATGTGTGAGAAAAAGGAGCGTAGGATCTCAAGAAAACAACAGACTTATAAAGCCTTTCGGGAGAAATTGGAAGTGAGTTAGATTTGGCATCCACTTTTTTCATGTTTGTTGTACATGATTATAAATGGAAGATTATTCTCCAAAATTTTTGTCTTGGTAGTTGGTTAGTACTGTGGTAATTGACTGTGCTTTGTTCATCCCAGTGGCATAAGCTATTCTCCCTTATGTGGAAATAAAATCATACCTCGTATAAGTTGTAAAAGGATTGCATTCCAGTAATGCTCAAAATGTCATTAACTTTCTTGGAACTTGTGTTTTTTTCTAAGTCTTCATTTTTTGAGCCTGATGTGGTTTTACTGGTACTTGCGTTTTTTCTGGCAATTTATTGATATGAAATTTTGAATTCAAGGTGCTCTATTCTTGCATTTATTGCTTTGCTCCTTGAAGTATGTTCAATATTTTGATTACTTTGTTTTATCTTAGGCATGTGAGAAAGCTGTACAATTGAGATGGAGCAAGTTCCAGAGGAATGCAACCCTTCTGAAGCGCCAGCTAACATGGCAGTAGGGCGTCTAAAGCATATAGCTTTCTTTTTACATTAATTTGTTCACTATTGACTCGTTGACAATTCTTTCTAATAGATTTAATGGCCATCTGAAGAAGAAAGGGATAAGTGGTCAAATCAGAGTTAGTTTTGAAGAGCAAACTCTGTCAGTAGAGGTAAAATGCCGAATGAACCTGTCATGATACTATCATCAACAAGAATCTGGACCTTATCTCCAAACTATGCTCTACCCTAGAGCAGGATCTTCTCTACTCTGAAGCAGAGTGGTCACATTTCATCTCAGACCATCACTAAATTTCACTTCACATCGAATATATTCTTTTTCATTCCATTTATTACCAACTGGTTATGAATACCAAATTATAATATAAAACATATATATTTTATTAGGACCAAGTTAGTATGTATATATTTATATGTATAATATTTTTCATAAATGGGCCTCGATTAACTTTATTCTCAACTGACAACTAGCTCAAAGGGAGAGGAAGCCTAGCCACACTTATACACAATATCAATGTGGGACAAACATAAACTTGTAATAATCTATAATTTTAAGTGTTTGTATCTTGCAAAACAATATGCGTGTAAAATTTTGTTACAAACATAAACTTTACCAAGAGCAGCATAGGAAATGCCATAACAACAAAGACATAAGAATCAGACAATAACATTTATTAATAATCTATTTTATATTTCAAATATTTAAAAGAAAGTTTGACATGTTAATATTCTTTTTTTTTTTAAATCATAATTTATTTAGTGAATTGATCTTGCAGATATAGTTTTTCTCTTGGCATCATACATTATCTAATTTCATATACCATATACTGTTCTATATTTTTATTGTTATATGGTGACTGGCGGAGAGAGTCTAAATTCTTTAGAAACTGCTAGGTACAGGGATTGAACCTTGTATCAGTCAGTCCAAACAACACACTTATGAAGGGTAAGAGATACCACTTGAGCTACAAGCTCGTGGTATATACCAAATGTAACTAGAAATTAAGTTAATTATATTTGATGATTTGTCAAGATTTGATATATTATTAACACAATTTTCGAAAGTAAGAAGATAATAAAGAAAGGTTGTTAGTGGAAAACAAGAACGGGCAGTACCAGAACATCACTGCACTCAATTCATTCTTATGAAGGAGTTCCAGAGAGTGGGACAGGCTGGGCATGTAGAGCCCCTTTGGAAATGTGTTTGATTTTCAGAATGCTTCATCTTAAGCCAAGAGTAACCGATCAATCAGCTATTTAATTTTCCCTTATTTGTATATTTTCTTGACTGAGTAGGTGAAAATGCCTCAAGATGCGTCAAGCAGCTCCGTTCGTGACACTAGAGGACTTTCAGGTTTGCTTCTTTCAACTAAATATTTCTCCGCCTTTTCTGTATTGAATTTGCCTCTTTCATATATTGCTCTCTTCCCATATGTGGCTTTTTATGTTTAATAAGCCATTATACGACTCTGAGAGGTAATCATCGTACTTGGAGAGTGATTCCTTTTCATGTGCTTTGATCATCCCATGCCCATCATAGATATATTATTTTTTTATTTTTTTGAGGAAGAGAGAATGTACAATACATTTAAAAATGTCAGGTATATGTGATTGTTGAAAGGGTTGGTTCGTCTTGTTTACTTACATCTGATATGTAGACATATATCTATAAATTAAACAGTTCCACTATAAAGCATATGGGAGTTGGATGTATTTGTTGGCCAACTTAAGCAATAACGGTTAGTATATAAATCAGGGCAAAAAAAATATCGCTTTTATGTCATACTGTTTCAGAATTATCATTTTTTAACCTCTAAAATTTAACTAGCGAGCATAACTGGCATGATCAGGTATGAAGATATACAAGGGACATTAAATATTTGCTAAATATAGCTGTGGTTTTATATTTGACAGTACTGCTTATCGTTTACCGCCAACAGGTTAAGACCAGAATTGTAAGATTTTCGTTCTTCTGGTGCTTTAACAGGCGGTGAGCGTTCTTTTTCAACATTGTGTTTTGCCCTTGCACTTCATGAGATGACAGAAGCCCCCTTCCGTGCAATGGATGAGTTTGATGTTTTTATGGTATTATTCTCTGACTGAAACTTTCAGTTATGTGTATGAAGTTGGTTTTACTTATATGATTGGTATGATATATAACACAGCCTTTTGAAATTGAGCCTTGGTATGCTCTCAGTCTAATTTAATTAATATGAAGATTAAGATACATGGACAGATAGTGAATCCTTCTGAATACCCTTTCCTAATGAAAGCATACAGAAACATGGGGAGAGTTCTCCAAAATAACATTTGCTTTTATATGTCTGTCGTCAATTTGTTTTATCATCTTACTTTTGGCATTGATACAAATAGTATCTTTTCTAACTTTCAGAAAGAGATTTTGATACAATTTAGCCATATTGTGGTTTTTGGGCAGAGTACTTCACCATATTCTGGTTTGTGGTTTGAGCCCTTTTGTTCGAACTGAGAAGTTCAACCTTTTAATCATGTATCGTGGCTTCCTTTCAGCCTTTTAATCATAAAACTTGATAGGGATTCAAATTCTCAAAAGAATAAACATCAAACACGTTTATGTGTAAAAAATTGGAATAAAATGCAACACCTAGGAAGCTTTTGGAACTGATTAGTATGTGAAGAATGTGAGAGATCGTAACTGGTATTGTACAACTCTAACTGAAGTTCTTATTTTAGTTTCGTGTTAGCTGGTGTAATTTGGTGTCACAAGGCAGCAAGTTTGATGTACTTTTATATATTCTTTTAAGCAAAAAATTAAGCAAGCAGGATGATTTTGGTTTCGTCCGCAGGATGCTGTAAGCAGAAAAATCAGCTTGGATGCCGTGGTTGATTTTGCATTGTCTCAAGGTTCCCAATGGATTTTTATAACCCCTCATGACATCAGGTATCATCTTGTTTAGCATAATTAACCTTAAACCCATTTTTAGCTTTACATAGCTGATCTTTTGCACTTGTCTGACAAAAGTTTGGAAAACCTGAATGTTATCCCATTTTAGTTAACTCTACATTCTGGAGTGAATTTCTATATAAACACTGGAGCATTAATGGTGTGTCGTTTTATTCATATGATTCAGCATGGTGAAAAATGATGAGAAGATAAAGAAGCAGCAAATGGCAGCCCCTCGTGGATGACTATTCTTATCCACTCTTTTGTTTTCTGTGAAGTGTGTGCTGTTTTGTTCATCCAATCTAATCTTAAAAGATAATCTGACGAACAGAATTCTGGAGTTTTTAGCTCTGCCATTCTATGATTTCACTGAAAAGATTCTTCTCCACAGTTATTGAGCCGGGACAGTTTTCCAACTATGTGAAGAACCTGGTTTTCAGAATTAATCGCGTGTAAAAAAGCTTATTTATGCAGAGCTGCTGCTGCTGCCCATCAGCAACCTCAAGTCAGCCCTGCAAATATTTGCATATTCACTGTACTTTCTCATGGTGCTTTTTTCTTTTCTTTTTAATGCATATATCATTAGGACATTGACATGGCATGTGCCATCAGTAGTTTTATTTTGTTTGACAAATTGATATCTCCATTCAGTACTTTTTGTGGCCAGCTCAATAAAAGGTTATCAAGTTATCCGTACGACTACATTTTTCCAGTTTTTCTCAACTGTAAAATGATTCTGAAGTTGATGATTCTAAAGTTGGTGAGAGAGTAACACAAAATGAAAGAATGAAATGCTGATAGGATTTGGTCATGCAAACATGGTCTTAATGGTTTTGTACAAGAATAGGCAAGGCCAAGGCCAATATTCAAACATTTTCACAACTCTAGCATGTAAAACAATAGAGAGTCAATTACCATAAAAGCTTCCACTTCACAAAAGAGAGAACTTTAGAAAAAGCTCTAAAACATTAGAGACAAAATGCTCAACAAAAGGAGACTAAATGCTCCACACAGGCACACTGACAACATAATAATAACATAAAAAAAAAATAATATAATAAGACTTCCCTCACTTCATTTGGCAACGAACCTAACACCTCCCATCCGTTGAACTTGTAATTTTTTTTATTCTTTTTATTTTTTTTTTTTTTAAAAAAAAAAAACTAAAATGCCACAATGTGAAATAGAGGGAGTATGATTTGTTTCATTTTCTAATGTTTATCCTAACTAATTATTCATTGGATGTGTACAAAAAAGTAGCTACCAAGAATCTACATAATATGTGATTTTTCTGGACTTTAAAAGATTACGTTATTAGATTCATAATATGGACAAATTAAGTTGAACAATCCAAAATATAAAAACTAATTTCTGAAACTAACATTCTTTATTAAATAAATACGATTTTAGTTGCGACAATAAAATATGAGATTTGTAGATAAATAAATTGGGTAAAACAAATTTAAGATTTAAGTTGATTTAACTTTTGATTCCAAAAAGTTTCAAATGTTATATTCTTTAAATGATTTGCCGAATTTTTGTAATCCAAATTTACACGTTTGACCGAAAATACTTAAGTAAATGATTGATTGAATTTTCTGGAAGCAAGATTTTCAAGATTTTTTCTCATTATTGACCAAAGTTACCCGTAGCATTTAAGGAAATTGTTGCCCATATTTTTACAAATTAAGGTTTACACAATATTTTTATCAAAAAAAAAAAAAAAAATTACAAAAGAAATTGAATTCCAATTTTCATTAAGCTGCCACTAAAAAAAAACTAAGAATAATAATTTTAAATTTTTTAAGCGAGAATTTTAATACTATTTCAAGTAAATCCATGTTTCTATTATATAATAATATATTGTATTTAAAATTGACCCGTCGAACCAGCAGCTGGTGGTGAGCATTATTCGGCAAATAAAATCTGCTTACATTGTGTCTATGTCCAATTGTGCATAAAACTGTCATAAATTATATTTAAAATTGAATTATAAATATGCCTCCTCCACTATTGGAAAAAAAAAAAATATTTTCATACTATATTTTGCATATGAGGCATTATTAAATCTAAGATGTCATTTTTTTAAAGAAAATTAAATGAATGTGATAACCAACGTGTCAGGTTTTTTTATTAAGAAATTCATTAATTATAAATTGATTAAATTCAAATATCGAATGTTTAAAAATCAACTTTATGACAAAAATATTTCACAAAATTTGGAGAGAATAAAGATAATATATTTTCTAATAAAAATAATTTGATAGATTTTTTTTTTATCATAATATTGGATTAAAAATGGATATTACTAATTATTTCATTTAAAAATTAACAAATTATAACTTAATAAGACTAAATATCCTCATTATTTGGAAACATACTTTATATATACTATATGGCATATACGTATCTGACAGTATCGAAAGAGAATAATTTATTTAGGAGTAATATATTTTTAAAATATCATTTTATTTAATAAGTAATTTCTTAAAAATTCAAATTGATTATTGTTCATGTGTATGTATTATCATTTGCAGATTTTTTTGGCATATAAACGATTTCGCATAGAATCTTTCAAATTAAATTTTATTTTGAAATAATGATATTTTGCAACTAAAAAATTTTTTTTACTCTCTTTATGAATTATAAATATTGTAATACCTATACTTATTATTAATCGACAAAATATCTTTAAAATTAAGAAAGGTTTGTACTTTTTATCATCTAGCAAGTAATTAGGATATTTTCTATTTTTTTTATAAAATTTGAATTAAAAATAAATAAATATCTAATTATTAGTATAATGTGAGAAAATATATATGATAATTCTATTACACAATTATTTATAAATTAATATAATACTTAGAATCTTATGTATAATTGTATACTACTGTATAATCCCCTCTATATATAATTCTCGAATGCGCTGCTTTTGGTGCTTCGGAATCCTACTTGGCGAATAATCATGCTTCGTAATTAGATTTGGACAAATAATATTGATATATTAATAATTAATTAATAATCTAGGTTCGGACATTCCATAAATATTATTTAGCTAACCTAGGTATTTTAATATCATTTGTACTAATATAACCCTTTAATTCCTTATAATTTTACATAGTGAGACACTAAGTGACTAAAATATCCCTGACTTTTCCTTCAATTAGCTATTGAATTATAAATGTATTTTAAAAGTTGATAACTTTTGTATTTCTTATTGGTTTTACATATGTACTATATCAAATTAATCATCTTTTCATGATTTTCGATTTGACATCCATATTGATATATCAAATAAATAAATTATATTCATCTTTATAATAATAAAAAATAATAATATTTATTAAAGTTTATTAGAAAAATAAAATTATTACTCAGTTGATATATTTATATTTAATGTAGTTATATGTTGTACGTTAAAAAAAAATATTATAATATAACACAAGTAAGTCACACAAAACAAGTGTCATACTTAAAATATTATAATATATATGTTTTTATAAAAATATTTAAATTTTCACCTATTTTTTCTCATTAGTTTTAGAGTTTAAGGAAAAAAATTAGCAAACACCCGTGTAATACACGGGCGTTGTACTAGTTGTATACTATAATAAATTAATAATAAAATTCTACAAGGAATATATTACATTCACAATCACATAATAATAGAATTCTCCAAGTAATAAATCACATATTCACAAGGTTAATTGCATCTAAAATCCTAACATTTTGCTTAATTGTAAATAAAACTCAAACTTTTCAATTAACAAAAAAATTACAAACCTTTAATAAATAGTGCAATTGTGTCTCAAATTAAGTTTTCGGCCAAGGCACGCCAACGAACTCGAGGCGGCTGTGCACAGAGGGGAAGCCTAGTGAAGGAGGTCGCTGGAAGTCGAGCACCGGTTCCGCGAAAGTGGACGTCACTAGATGTGGCTTTGCGAGAGGATTTCAACGGTACCTTCAGATTCACATGGGTCAAAGCGAGTCACCAAAAATTAGCGAAAGAACGCCGGAGAAAATTTGTATTTCAACAAGTTTTGACCGAAAAATTGGAAGCCTTATCGTCGGAATTTTTTCGTGAAACTCGGATATGCTGTCGGCACGGAGGAGAGCTACAAGATCATGTAAAATTTTTCAACATCTGGCAAAGTTGCCCGGCGGCGGGTGGCGGATGGCGGCGATCTGACGGCAGAAGGTGATTGGAGGCTAGAAATTGATTTTGAGACACAATTGTAATATTTATTAAAGGTTTGGTGTTGTTTTGCCAAATCAAAAAAGTTGAGTTTTATTTACAACAGTCCCGCTCACCTGCCCACGGTGGACAGTGCCCACTAGTTTGTTTTATATGAAAAACGTATTCTGAGAATACATTTTTCAATTAAATCTATAAATATATAAAAAGAATTACCATTTACTAAAAATAGTAGCAAAAATTTAGGAAACATTTAATGCATACTATTTTTGGAATTTTTTTAAATATATGCATTAATTGTTTCTATTTACACGATTTCAAATAAGATCAAATAACATATGATCAAATATTTATTTAAATAAATTTATTAATATCTGCAGTATTTTCATTGATATTTATTATAATAAATTACAAGATTGATTTTCGTGATTAATGTTGATAATACTTTGGTCAAGATAAATATTATCTTATTAATATTTGTAATACTTTCATTGATATTCATTACAATAAATTACAAGATTGATTTCTGTGATCCATTTGATATTTTGGTCAAGATAATATTACACCATAGTTTAAGTTCTAACCATAATATTAGTTTTTTTTTTTTTTTTCACAAATATTCACTTTATCCAAAAATATTTATGGACAATCGTAACAGGTTAGGTAGATTTTTTTTTTCAAGTAATCAGACAATATCAAGTTGGTGAATTAATCTTTGCCAATATATTTGTTTCTTAAGCTTTATTTTGTTAAATATAAAAAATAAATCGTTCTTCAAATTAATATAATTTACCATTTAAGAGATACCAGATACAATAAATAGTTTTACTAATGGTAAAAAATTAAAATTGAAACATATTAACTATTGTTTAGAATTTATTCGTATATTATTGGCACCCATGATTATATTTTTTCATTTTTTTATTTTGATTTATTTCTATAATTAAATTCTTGTAAAATATATTTTCATTGCTGAGTATGCTAAATAAACCACAAATTCTTATAATGTGAATTAGAAAAATCATGATCATAGAGGGGATCGAGTTTTTTGCATTTTCTAAATAAAAGTTGTTTAATTAGTATACAAAATTATATTCTAAAAAACATGTTTATATTTTGTAAAATATTTATACACTATTTAATATTAAATGTATTTACATATTTTAAATTGATTACATAAATAAATAATACCAACGTGCATTAAATATTTTTTATTACATAAAATAAAAATAAAAATAAAAAGACGATGTACAACTTCTATAACTTTATAAATAATAATTAAAGTATATGACATAAAGCGTATAATAAAATAATAATTAAGTATTATATGGTGAACAAGAATAAGTAAGATTGTTATTCTCTCTTATATCAAGGAATACATATATATATACTAAAATTCAAATTTAAATTAGGATAAATGTGTTAGTGAAATAATATATTAGCTATTTTAATATTTTGACCAAAAATATAACGTTGATTAAAAGAGGTGCAAAATATATTATAACCTTATTGTTTATTATACTTAACGTTGATTATAAGAGATGAAAAATAGATGATAACCCTATTGTTTTATATACTTAAACGGACAAAACATGTGAAAATAACTCATTTAATATTTCCATCTCGTGCATCGCACGGGGTATGTACTAGTTTAATTGAAAAACGTATTCTCAGAATACGTTTTTCATATAAAACAAACTAGTGGGCACTGCCCACCGTGGACAGGAGAATATATTTATTATTTACAATTAAATAAGAGGTTATGAATTTAGATGCAAGTTTAACCCTAATCACAAAAATAAATTACATTCTACAAGTTAATAATAAATTACACGCCCACGGCCCACAATCACATTCACAATCTCATACGCGACTTGCGAATATCTGCCCAGTGCCCAGGTGTGGTCCGTGTGGATGAGGAACAGATCAAAATTGGGCCTCTGTCCGAGCCCGCGAATTTGACCGGAGCAATTCGGAAGGTATGAATCAGAGAAGAACAATCAGAAATTAGAGAAGGCAAAAAAAAAAAAAAAATGAGAAAAGATAAAGGAGTTGCAGCAGCAAGTCCCAGCAAAAACCAAGAAGATGAAGAAGAAGAAGAACATGCACAGGGAGAATATTATGACCATCAGAACAAAATTGCCATCCCATTCTCCACTCGCAATGCTTCTTCCAAATATGATTTTGTTAAGGTTCAGATTCGATTACATTATCTTAGTCCTCTGCTCTTATTCCCTAATTTTAATTCTCAAAATCATGTTCAAATCATGTTCTTGTCTCATTCAAAAGTACTGTTTTTTTTTTTGGTTACTATTAATTTCAGGTGAAGGTGTGGTTGGGTGACAATGCCGATCATTATTACGTGCTCTCCCGATTTTTGCTTAGCAGAATGTTGACTGTAACCAAGGTTGAAACTTTTTTGTTAATTGTGTTTTATTTCAGTGGTGTTTAATGGTGCTAAGCTGTGTAGAATTAACTATGACTTGTTCTGATTACTGTTTTAGTACCTCACAAACTGCAGATTCCAAATCACGTGGCTATTAAGATTGCTCTTGAGTTGAAAAAGCTGCTTATAGATAACAGCCTTCTGGACGTGTATGTTCGATGCTTGTTTAAAGACTGTTTATATACGTGATCTTGTTTGGAAGTTGCATTCTCTTTTGTGATGTTTACATTTTAAGTTAATTGTTTTGCAGCTCGCAGTCTGACCTTGAAGCGAACTTATTCAAGGTGTGTTGCCTTATCTGTTTGTGATTTTTGGAACTTTTTGGCTATATAGTTTTATGTCAAATTTTTTTTTGGATATTTATGGTACCTGATTTTTAAGTGGACTAGTGAATCCAATATGCATGTAAAATTTTCGAGTATTTTAATGCATTACTTGGAGTAGTATAAGCGAATGTATGTGGATTGTTTTAGTTGCAATATAGTCTCAATGTCGAAAGTGAAAAGCTTGATTATGCTACATGGCCGTCAATTGACATGTTGTCTGAAGCAAAATGACTCTTCTTGCATCAATTTTAGTTGCACCGTTTAGATAAATTGTGATGCCTGAGTCAGTTAGTACTTGCACTATGCATGTGAAGAGCTATTTTAGTTGTTGGTATTGGTTGGAGTGTAATTAGCGAATATATTAGTTCCATGTTTCAGTTGTAATGTAGTCTTGGCAGGCAAAGATGAATTTTGATAACATGTTGCATTATCTCTTTTTGACATAGTTTTCTGTTTGTTGGTGGTAATTAATGAATCGGAGTCTTGTCCAAATATTTTTGGCTATCACTGTGATCATCTCGTCTACTTTCAATTTGCCTGGTGACAAGTATTGTGCAGCTGATATTGTTTGCCCATATTTTGACATCTTTGCTGTGCTTGATTCAGACGTTTATTAGTGCAGCTTTGATATTGTTTGCCCATATTTCAACATCTTTGTCGTGCTTGATTCACACATTTATTATTGCAGCTTTGATCTTTCCTGGACAATTTTAACCTTTTTTTTTTCTTTATAATTTTTATAAATGTATTTTTTTGTATCTTTATATTTTCTTTTTTGTGGTCTTGGATATTTTGCTCATTTCTTGGTCATATCCTGTAGCTCATGGAGAGACGAGGCTATGGGGAAGAATATATAAACAGATATAAAATGATGACAAGGTTAGTAACTTTTTGCTCTTTAAGTTTAATTATAATATCATGAAAGGAATACCCAAACCGATTTTACTAGTTCAGGATGAGGATTTTTGACATCTATGGGTCTTTTTCGTGGTATTGTGAGAAATTTTATTTTCCGAGTGTTTCTGGAAAAACCTGTTTGAATGAGTTATATCAGATGTTTTATCCTGAATCATTTCCTAATTGCAATTTAGAAGTCTTTCATGTTGAGTTCGAAATGATTAGTAGTGTTTATAGCAATTGTTTCTAGACTATATATAAAATATGGCTTTGTTTAAAGATATATTTTTGTACTTGCATATTCATTAGAAAGAATCAATATATTAATTTATTCATGTAATGATCGGAAGATATATAATGATTGGGTATTCAGAATAAAAGTTCATTTTAGGGGATGCTTTGGGAGAACTCTTACTGTATGTCTTTGTCATAGGAAAAAATGGATTTACGAAAAAGAAACAAATTAGTACCATTTCATGTTGAGGGGAGAATAAATGTTGACACTATGGGTGCATATACTGATATTGCTTCATTTGTTCTGACATTTTAATTTGCTTTATATTTTTTAGATTTCACCATCAAAGAGTACCACTAGTTATTCTTGTATGTGGTACTGCATGTGTTGGAAAGTCCACTATTGCTACTCAACTTGCACAAAGGCTAAACCTGCCAAATGTTTTGCAGGTAAAACCTCTTTTTCTTTTAGATATTAGCTATATGTACATGGATCTCTCATCAAGAGCCACAATCAGCATGTCATGCTTTAGTATTTGTTTCATCCTAACTCTTATTTTATATTATCTTATTTTGCAGACAGATATGGTGTATGAATTGCTGCGCACTGCAACAGAGTATGGAACACGTTAACTTTCTTATAAAATAATTACCTGGCAATTATCTTTAAAACTCAGACTGACAGATATATGAGTTAATATTATGCATGTTTGATACAAAAGAATGGTTGAGTAATAGCCCAGTTTTTAATTAAAGAATGCTTGTTTTATCCGTATGAAAATACGCTCGTCAATCCATATGTATTCTTATATGATGACACGAGAGCCATGCATTATGTATCATATTGAGTCTTTTAAGAATTCTTGCAATGTTCTGCTCACTCGAATGTATGCCATGAATATCCATTGTGGAGGAATTTGTGCCATGCCCTTACGATCTCAGATTATTGACATGCCTGCAACTCCATAACAGTGCACCATTAACATCTTCCCCTGTTTGGGCCCGAGATTTCAGCTCCTCCGAGGAGCTAATAACTGAATTTTGTAGAGAATGTCGGATTGTGCGTAAAGGTAATTCAAGAGATCCTCTATTTAACTGTGGGACACCTTAAGGACTCTCACGAGTTATCGAGTTGTATTCCACATAGGTTTGGCCGGTGATTTGAAGAAAGCAATGAAGGATGGAAAACCAATTATTATTGAGGTGAATTGCATCCTGCATTAATGCACTCCGTGGATTTCTATGCTGATAATTATCTTTTCTTGTTTGAGTATTGTGAACAGAATAATTCACATTGTTTTCTTAATTGTGTGAGGAGGTTGGAAAGAATAACTAGAATGAGCATCATCTTATACTTAAAACATTCATACTAAGATAAATATGTTCATACACTTTTGTTATGTAAATAAAAAATGGGAACCGATGGAAGAATCAGGAAGTATTTATTGCTGCGTCCAGTGTCATCATGTTAAGGTCTTCCTAGGAGTGAAATCTATACCGGTGGGTTGTGTTCTTTTTTTTTTTTTTTTTT